ACCGACGTGCAGGAGGAGCAAGCAGAGAGTGAGAGCGAAAACTCGCTCACGTGGAGCGAGACTAGCCTCTACTTGGAGGGACCTGCCTTGCAGTCAGCTGTGGAACGCCTGCATACCCTCTACAGAGCGGAACTACAGGTTCGCCGCATACCGAGCCGGAGCCAGGCGGGATGCCTTGCTGGGCTGCGGAGACGCACCAACGTCTCCGACTGGTTTCGCCTCCAAGAAGAGGCTGTGCAACGACTCACTGGAGACAGGCTGCTGGAGTGGCAAAGCTATGAGCACGAGGCCACTCACGAGAGAAGGCCCCGCAGAAGGCCTCACAGAAGGCCAGCCGCAGCCCGCGATCGATCCCGCTCATGAGCCGCGGCACTCGATGTGCCGACGCTGCGGGAAGCAACACTGCCTCCAAGTGCTCGCTACCACAAGGCCAGAGCACCATTGCCCTTTAAGCCGGATCCCCTGCCCTAACCCCCGGAACCCTGAACTTCAGCAAGACCAACCCCAGCACAGGCGAGTGCGGCCCTGGGCTTGCAACAGGCATGCAGACGCGCAAGAAGCACCGCATGAAGGACCTCTGCATAACACTGCTTCCGCCCAGCCTGCTAAGCCCCTAAGCCCAAATAGGACCCACCATGCCAAGAAAAATAACAGTAGATCAGGAAGTAGGCCGCCACCATCATCTGGCCCTCTCGGTCCCAAGTCCGAGACCAGTCTAAGATGCACGCTTCTCATAGGATGGTTCATCAGGACTGGAGGGGTGAGGGTTCCTCCTGATTCCGCGTCAGGAGGAAGACCTGCTGTGCCCATGGCAACGGCAGGCAAGCATCGCGGACCAACGCCCCCCGCGGCGCCAGTACATACACAGCATCCCGTCATCGCATTATCAACCTCAGTCAAACGTGCCTTTAGGAGAGCCAGAAATAGAGCCCACGCCTCCCCGAACCAAGGGACCTGGTACAAGGGTAGATGGCACAGGGCCGAGTCCCTAGGACAGATCCCTAAGCCTCTCCCCGCCCAAACCAGGCGTGTGCGGCCTCGACTCCCCTACCGCCACAGGCCGGTCAAACACTTGAGCGTACTATCATGGAACACTAGTGGATTAACATCTGCCATGTTCCAAGAGTTGCTGGCTTGGATAGAAGCCCACTCAGCAGCCGACATTATCATTCTGCAAGAAACGCACTGGGATGTCACATCGGACTTCCAGTCGGGACAGTGGATGGCCATCCACTCGTCGGGCAAAGCCTCCCCGGATCCCTATCGGGCCTCCTTTTTCTTCTGCGTCGGCAGCGGTTCCAGGACGCGCGGGTACTAGAGATAGTCCCTGGTAGGCTTGCCTTGGTCCAGGCCACCTCCAGAATAACTCAGCTCCCGATTAGCGTCATAGGGGTTTATCAGCATGTATGGCGCACCAGTCTCTCTACGGCTAAAAACCTTGAGCTCCGACGTTCCCTATGGGACAAACTAGGCACAGCCATCCTCAGGGTTCCTCAGAGACATCATCTTCTTATCTGTGGAGACTTTAATTCTGCGATCAAGACAGAAGCGCCATGCACCGGCAGCTCCATCCTCCAAACCACTTCATCCAACCACGATGCTGACCTTCAGGCCCTGCTGCAGCAACACTCCCTTTGTGTCTTGAACACCTGGCACTGCAAGCCAAGTGGCACGTACTTCTCCCCAACGGGGTACACACAGATCGACTACGTGATCACCCGGCAGCATGGGGCCAGCCACCAAGCCAAACAGGCCTACCCGGATCATAGCTTTCCCATAGGCAGTCTCCGACTTACTGGGCACTTTCCTGTCAGAGCTCAGCTACCAATGCAATCCTTCAAGCAGACCGCCAAACAGGAGCCATCCCAGGGTGTGGCCATTGACTGCGCCCGGCTGCAAGCTGCGGTCTGCCAAGCCTCCGGGGAGGCCCTAGGCATGCAGGCCAGTATCGCACAGCGACTTCAGGAGGTTGACATTTCCAACTTGACCAGCGCCCATAAACATGTTAACCGGATTCTGTTGGAGGAGGCCCAGCGGGCTTTTCCCAAGCAAACGCCAACAGACCTGCGGGTCAGTGCCAATCCCGGCTTCTGCATGTCGGCCAAGCACGTGTGGCAACTGTACCGCCAACTCAAGCGCCCAGGAGTGTGTGCCGCGCACACCATCTTTGCGAAGTGGCAGCTGGCCACCAGCATTGCTAAAGCCTCAAAGCAACTCAGACAGCAGAGCCGTGATCTCAAGAAACAATTTTATGAAGCGCAGGTGGACCAGGCAGAGCAAGCTGCACTGCGCGGAGATCAGCGCAGTCTTCATCTCATAGTGAGGCGATTGTCACCTAAGACTAGACAAATTGCCAGCCGCCTCCGAGGTGAGGATGGACACCTCCTAACCAGTCAGGAGGAGCTGCAACACATCATGAAACATGGCAGCAACACCTTCGCAGCCCAGCTCGATGATCACCCCCTGGCCCCTCTTCAGCAAGCCCTTTTGATCACCGACCAGGACCTGGCTCATGAACTATGCCATTTGGGCCTTGCCAAGGCGGTGCCCAAGCATATTGCACCTGCTGCAATCTGGAAACAGTGTTCAGCCGAAATCAGCCAGGTACTAGGCCCGGCTCTAAGGCAACACCTTGCCTCCGGCAGCAGTGGCAGGCTTGATGAGGACTGGAAAAACTGCCACATTGTTTGGATCCCCAAGCCAGGGAAGCCATCAATAGAGGTTGCCTCATTAAGGCCCATAGGATTATCTAGTCCGGCCAGCAAGGCTCTGGCAGGCAGCCTGCGCAATCATCTAATTGGACACTTTGAGCCCATCCTAAGAGAGCTGCCGCAGTTCGCTTATGCCAAACACCGCGGCACAGCCAATGCCCTCATCCGGGCCCACGCTCACTTCGAGAAAGTGTCAAGTCTTCTCCGCAGTACTAGGTGCACCCGCTTCCAAAAACAAGCGGGTACCAAACCAAGGCTCTGTACAGGAGGCGTTTGCATATCCCTTGATCTTTCCAAGGCCTTTGATGGAGTCAGCAGATCCCACATATACCGGTCCATGCAAGCTCATGGTGTCCCTCAGGAGGTGATCACCGTGGTCCAGCAACTGCACAAGGA